GGCAGTTCAGGTGGGCAGCAGCCTGGTGCAGGTGCAGGGCAGGTGGAGGGCAGTTCAGGTGGGCAGCAGCCTGGTGCAGGTGCAGGTTAGGTGGAGGTACCTCATGGCCCTGAGAGGACGTGCCTGCAGCCTGGGGTCGGGCCTGGCACTGCCCCGAGTCCACCTACTGTGTGGCTTCCTGAGACACTGTTGGCCTGGCTCCTTCCTGCGCACCCCTGGGTGTCCTGCCCCAGCTGGCCTCTTTCTCCATTGACAGGCCTCTGCTGGTCAGCGAGGCCAGTGTCCTTGGTCGAGCATGGAAAACAGCACACTGGGATGGCAGCACTGTCGGCAGATGTGCCTGGGCGTGGTATGGCTGAAAGGCTGAACCTTCTTGGCTGCCGGAGTGGATCCTTGGTGCCTCCTGAGGCTGCCACTCTGTCAGCCTCCGCTCTGCACATGCCCCGGCCCGCTCAGAAACAGCCGAGCCTACCAGGGGCCCCGCTCCCACGGGGAAGGAAACCCCCTGTGCTCTGCTTGCTCTGCAGCATCGAGGCAGGAAACGCTGTTGTGTTTACCGCTTAGAAATTCCCTTTCTAAGGTCAACACACGCCGTTTTAAACAGAGCCAGGTTAATTAACAGAGTGACTCTGGTTTGGGTTCAGCGGTCCTCCCTGCCTCCACTGCTGGGCAGGAGAAGGTCAGACTTCAACTGTCCTTCCATCCACTGACCCGATGCTGCCAACTGTGCCTGAGATTTAGACCAAGTGGGGGTGGACGAGCAGGGTGCCCTGGGCCTTATGTCCACTCTGGGCAGTGCATTCCTTACGCCACGGATCTCTGTGGAACAGCTGGAGAGGGTGGGGTCGGGTGTGGACCTCCCATCTCTGCCTCGCTGCCCCGTGGCACAAACATGGCTCCAACCCTGGGTGGTGCTTTACCAGGTGGAGGCAGCCCCGGCCAGCAACCTGCTCCTGACGTCCGACAGGTTAAGCTGCCCAGGGGCCCGCCTGGTGGTGTGGGGCACCACGTCCATCTTCCTCCACCTGCCTCAAGGCTAAGGGAAGCGTCCCCTGTGGTGTCCTGTGCCTTGAGCCACTGAGAATGGCTCGATTGTCCCTTTTCCTGAAGTCACCCACAGGCACGTGTCCAGCCAGTGTCCATGGGTAAATACAGGTGGGGAGCGAGCCCGTTGGTCTTTGGAGAGCAATCACCTTCGAGTGCTCCATCCTGGTTGGGCTGCAGTGAAAGCAGAAACCGGGTTGTTCCTCCTGAGGCTGCAGGGCATAGTCCAGATGGGGAGCTCCTGGCGCCCGGCGGAAGCCTGGGAGCAGGCCAGAGCGGCCATGGCAGGCAGACGGGTGGTGCACATCTCTGTGGCAGAAATGAAAAGCTACTACCTCTATTCCGAGTGGTGCTCCTGGCTGTGTTCTGTGGCTGAGGGTGAGTCCTGTGGTCACCTGGGGGCCACTCGTGGGTCACCGGTAGGGTGTGCTGCCTGGTGAGGTGGCAGCTGCTGGTGAGCATGCAGTTGCTCCGACTAGGTGAGGTCCCATGCCGTCTTTCCCTCCAGAGCCGCCGTGGCTCAGGAACAGGGACTGGCAGCTAATGAACTTGTACCCACATTTGATTTAATTCATGTCATGGTTTATCAAAAGCAAATAGTGTCCCCTGCCTGGC